ACCAAACGATGGTTGACCAAACGATGGTTGACCAAACGATGGTTGACTAAATTGCATGTTACCTCCCATGGAAGGAAAACCCATTGGATTACCCATTCCTCCCGAATAAACTTGAACTGATTCTAAACTAATATCACCTTTAACTTCGACTAATTGAGCTAAATGCATTGGTGCTCGTTGATGGTATTCACAAAAATGAGAATTATTGACAGCAATCTTTTATATATTTATAAGAAAAACAAAATTGAAATTTTATTTTTAAAATATAATATTATAACATACATTAAAACCATTATTTGTAACCATAATAACCAATGTAAATCGAATTCCACGTTGCATTGGTAATGAATGACGTTCTTCTTGACCCCATGCACCTCGTTGAGCTAAATATAACAAGATAGTATAATATTTATGAGAGTACATATATAATTGTTTTTATCATACCACTATTTAGTACGAGTGCTTGATCATCAAAACGTGGATTGAAGTGTAGGACAATATCATCCTGATAATTTTTTAGATTAACTTCGAATCTAGATTATTAAAGATATATAAAAACTTCACATTAAAATAAATTAATTTACCGGCTGCCAGTAGGTGTACCACTAACATGAATTTGTGTACCAACTGACAGTGTTGGTGATATTGGTGTTTGATAAGGTACAGGCTAATATAAGAAAAATAAAGTTTTAAATCATGAGAAAAAATAAAGAATTAAAAGATTTTACTAATCCAAAGCCTGTAGGACCAGAAAAATTTGAAAACATATTGTTTGAATATTAAAACTAGTTTAATCTAATAAATAAAAGAAAAGAAAAGAAAAGAAAAGTAAGGTTGTATTTAGAACGCTTCTTTGTTCTTTTCTTATAGATATGTTTATTTATTATCTGACTTTATCAACGTCGTCAGTCAACGTTCTTTTTTTTTCAACCATTTTACTTTCTGTTTTTCTCGAAAGATCCACCTGCATTTTTTGTTTTTTCTAATCATATCATTAAAAGTACACAAAGTTAGTCAATCTTATTCAAACGATAAACAACTTTGATAATGACGCAATATTATAAACTATACATGAATATTTTGATTATAATATAATGGCAAAGTCCATTTATAATATTTAAGTACAGATATATGATAGAGAGTGGACCTGCAGATTTCAAAATTTTGAAAACAGGCGCATAGTAAAATATGGAGAGTCCATCTAAGGAATATGGATCTCCTCTCCGCGTACACCCACACCTGTCTTTTTTGAAACGCAAATCTAATAGGGTCTATTGAGTAAATACTCATTTCAAATAGCATAAGAAATATAATTGAAATATGTGAATTTTATTACAAAATTTACCAATTCTCAAAAATTCTAAATTATCCTTGGCAATAATTCTGCAACTATTGGAATATGACAGCTACTTTTTAATCATTTGGTAATATTTAACTTTATGGAAAATTAATTTTTGCCATCGTTCGAATCAATATTACTAATAAAAGAGTCAGAAGGTTTATAATGAAAGTCCAAAACAACATTCTAAATTGATGTAAACAGATAACAACTAAATAGTTACTGTTTTAAATAATGAACAAGAATTCTCACTCGCTAACATTTCTGGACAGTAAAGCTATATTACGAAGTATAAGTTATATTTCATCTACACCTAAATAATACTATTTTATCTCGTTTCCTGATGAAAAATGTTCAGCAATATTTAAGCTGCAATTTTCTCTCTCAATTGTTAGGACAAAATAAACATTTATCTAATCGAGATTTATTTTTAATAATATTTCAATCTAATACGGATATTCAGAACTAATAAAGATGATCCAAAATACCATGAACAAGTACAAGATTTTACTACAGGCTCGTGATGCTATCTTTATATGGTTCCAATTGTTTATTGAAGTTCTTCTTCATATGCATCATAAATTCAATGATCATAAAGAACTTTTGGACATTTACAAGAATAGTTATAAGGGTAATCAGCAAGAGACGGAAATTATTGATGAATTTGAACACACATATAAAGGAGAAAATGCCATCTGGTGGTATACATGAGAATCATGTTTTTATCAAATCATGAAAAAAGGCATTACGTATACAAGATTTTGATATGCTATTTGCACTTCGATTCTTTATTACTGATATTGCAAAATAGATAAAAAATGAATATGAAAAATATATATGCGTACTTGTGACAATCGAAATATTATTCGCGTTTACTGTGGTCAAATAATTAGAAATGATGAACTTCAATTAATGAAGAATAGCATTGGTGAATTTCTTTCAATGAATTCTTTTTTATCATCAAGTCGTGATCGATCAACTGCTCTTCACTTTGCTCGAGCTACTCCGAAAACTAATGATGTTCAACAGATTATATTCGAAATTGAAATTAATCCGCGTTCACAAACGAAAGCTTTTGGTGATGTTACTCAAATCAGTTATTTTCAATATGAAGATGTAATATCAATTATGGTTGATGCTTTGTTTTGGATTAAAGAAGTAAATGAAGACAAGAAGAAACGAATATGGGCAGCTCGTGTATCAGCAGCAAGTGAAGATGATTATCATTTGAAAGAAACGTTTTCTTACATGAAAAGCACTCTTGGTGATGATACTGATTTGGATTCTCTTAGGAAGATTCTATTAGAAATGGATGAACCCTAACAAGCACGAAAATGCTACAGACAGATGTTGGATGAGACTAGACTTGCTGTAGGAAGAGCTGAATCAGGTCTTGGCTTAACATACCTTGATTGTTATGAGTTGTCGAAAGTCTCGAAAATCTGCAAGAAACATTACATATAAGACAAACTCTTTTGGGACAAAATCATGTGGACATTGGAGACTATTATAACTCTATCGGCACGTTACACTGGTACGTTCGAGAAGATTATAAAGAAGCATTGTCTAATCTTAAAAAAATAGTCAAAATCCAAGAAGTAACACTTCCGTTTAATTCTTTTGCTGTCACGAATACTTATCATAGCATTGCGACTACATACGATTTAACAGAACAATATGATTTTAGTCTAGAGTATTATAGCGAAGCTTTCAAGATTCGGCAAGTTGTCTTACTCAGTAATCATTCTCAGATTGCTGTAACTTACAATAATCTAGGAACATTATATGAAAGTTAAGAAAGTTACTCAAAAGCATTAGAATACTATGAAAAATCAATCAATATTTAGTGTAAAATTTTACTATCTACTCATGACGAACTTATTAGAACAGAAAGGAATATTCGTAGAATGAAAGACAAAGTGGAAAAATAGTTTGATATTAGATTGAAGAAGTATAATCTACCGTTGATCTACGTTAGTATCATATTTACAAGCGATTATTTATTGTTCACTTTCTA